AATATTTGAATGTAAGCTATCCAAAAGGGAGGTCGAATGCAAGTTCCCGGACAAATTCTGGAGGGAGATTTATCTAGCTTGGCAAACAATGGTTGAAGAAGAGGACAAAACAGACGGATTAGTATTGTATGAGTCTTTGTGGCACAATAGATATTTGAATTTGGACGACATGGTTGGAATACCGAAAAAGAGCTTCAAAATAGTGGTGTGCTACGTATTAACGACATTTACGATAGAAATGCAGGCAGGCTGATGCCACCCGATCAACTGACAGGAAAATATGGCATTGGGAACTTCCTTTTGTGGCATAGAATCTTAAAAGCAATCCCAAAGGAATGGAAACAAATACTGCGTGAGAAAAGACCGAGGGTGAGAGAAGTAAGGCCGGAGATATATGTTACTTTACAGGAAACTATAAAGGTTGCAAAGTGGGCATATTCCGCACTTATGAAATCAAATAAGCTGTCTTGTCCTCGCAAAGCACAAACCAAATGGGAGCAGGAACTGCAAGGAGTGCAAAGCTCTTGGCCATCAGTCTTTAAGATACTATATAAAAGTACACAAGATTTTAAACTGAAATGGTTGCAACTGCGTATCCTGCATCGAATATTGCCTACCAATAGAGTACTTAATTGGATGAAAATAAAAGAGTCTAGCATGTGTGATCGTTGCTTTGAGCCCAACGAGGATATATATATCATGTTTTTTGGGGTTGTAAGGACGCAAAGAAATTTTGGATGAGACTGAAACATACGCTTGTTTTACCGAAAAATTTCACACCAGAAGATATCCTTTTAGGTAACGTAACTGGTAAAGGAAAATGGACGGCAGCCCCCTTACGCGTGTGTGTACTATTAGGAAAACAGTTTATATGGCAATGTCGATGGTCTGGTGAAGAGCAAAGCGTACAGCGGTTTTCTTTGTATCTTGCAAAGTATATATCAGTTGAGAAATGCATCGTAGCACGCAGAGGGGGAAGAAAAAGGTTCGATGAAACTTTTGGGTTACTGTGGGAAGCCTTGTGTACGAGTAGTACTTGATTGTGCAATGGACAGACGTGGGCTCAGGATTGGAAGGGGGAGGAGTGTATGTAGTGGGATTCCTGTTCTAGGTACAAACAAAAAATCAGCCACCGCTCCCATGACCCATCCGGGCCAACCCGGGACCGGCCTCCCGCGTGCGGGGCGCCGGCCCTACAAGTCGACGGCTCGCACGCCCGGCCGGTGGATAGGGGGCGCCGCCCGCGATACCCCTTCGCCGGGCGGCGCGGGCGGTAGCTGATGGCCCACGGTGGCTGATGGCAGGCGGGCCACACCACGTCGCGTGGTGGTGACGAGCTATACTTTTATAGCTCGGCCGCCGCCCAATCAAAATGCAGATGAAATGTGGCGGGTGCACACCGCAACGTTATGTTGATGCTCATGTGGGGTTGAGGGGGTTGTTTGCCGTGCTGAATGCCGCTACTTATCTCCCGTCTTGCCAGCTGTACAGGGGACTAAGCGTGGAAGGCTGTGTCTCACATGGTGTATGTCTGTATGTTCGTGTTTGGGGGACACCGGTGTGACAATTTCGTAACCCGTGTTCTCGGATACATATATGTAATAAACATATGGGAAAAAAAAGAAAAAAAAAGGTTTTTCGAAGTGCACGCTAAACGGCTTGTCGTAGCGGGCTGAAATTTTCAATACCCTCTGGGGCAACCTTTGCGCATCTTTTGCCGAAAAAAATTTGATGGGTCATGTCAGGTCATGGAGTTATGACGTCATAAGAGGTACAGCCTCCGGCCGGATTTTCACAAACTGAGTGCCAACGCCCGAGGTTTCCTGCCGGTGGTACGGACATCGGTTGATGGATCGTGATGAAACTTCCCATGCATGTTGGGGCAAGTATTGGCTATCATATGGTATAAGAAATTTGACCGGGTCAGGTCAGGTCACGGAGCTATGACGTCACAAGAGGAACAGCGTCCGGTACTATTTTTGAAAAGCGCCCGAACCACTATTTTGCTAATTCTTGTCACCTCAATGGGAATATGCAGCAATATTAGCTTCTATAGGGAGCAAATGGACCTCCCAAATCCAAAAATACAATCAGATTTCAAAAATTTAAATTTTGATTTTTCGAATTTCTGCCGCCGACTGTGACCTTGCCGACTTCCGGCGCTCCCAACGCGCCATTTTTAGAGCTAGGGAAACGAAATACATACCAAACGATAGAGAATTGATCAAGGAACACGATAGTGAAGGTTTCAAGTCGATATCTCCCACCGTTTTGCCGCAATCGCCGCCGAAAGTTGAAAAAAGTCTATTTTTCCGAAAATTTGACCTTTGACCGGTCAAAAGTAGGTCAAATGTTGACCTAGGACCAAAAAATATACCACCAATCGCGAGATCTCGTTGAGAGCAATCCGTTGTTTTTTTCCGCTAAGCTCTACGACCTTCCGTTTCGAAACGCCAGGGGGGGGTCGTAACAACCCCCCCCCCCCTGGTCGTTCGTGTTATGAGAAATGGCCTGGTCGTGCGAGGGTTAATTCAGTATGAGACTCCGCTCGCTTCGCTCGCTCCGTAATGAATTAGCTGAAACACAGTACCCTCTGTCTATAAAATGAAGCCAAACGTAAAATAATGAACACTTGAGGCAGGTTTTTGAGATCACCCTCGCCGGCACAGGCCATTTTGCGTCCTTCGACGGCACAAGGGGGTGGGAGGGAGTTGGTACCAGCCCCCGTTCACGAGCTCCAGAATCCCTTTACTGTGACGTCACCACGGCGATAGAATCTCCCTTGACCGATAGGTATGCATGCAAATTTCATCATCTTTCGAGCGAGCTGGAGCAAAAACCAATGATTATGTGTCATCAAAAGTTGTACCAATGTAACAATGAGTTCGCCTCATTACGATAAATGGGGCTGAAACTAAAAAATAGGACTATATCGAGCCAAAATCAGCAATTCAAATGACTCCTTCAATTGAACGGGAAGGATTTCCTCTGATGACGTCACCACGGCGCCTTTATTTCCCTAGTGAACCAACCTGAGTAGTAAAGGGATCTTGGTTGGTACGACCCCCCTCGTGTTTGGCCCCTGATCGAGCTAGAGCTTCGAGGAAAAAAACGAGCGTGTTGCCCATGACGAGAGGAAGCCAATGATACCCAATCTAAGGTCCTGGGTCATCGGTTGACCTTCCAGGTCAGGTCAATGACTCAAAAGTCGGGAAAATCGGGACCTGTTAAAACGTCGTAAAGAGTTTAAAGTCATTGAATGAATTCGTAACCCAAGAAGTCGTCCCATCAAAACTATCCCCTTTTCTGATGCAGCTTTGCTGCGGCAACATTTGCTATCTTTTCTACAGGGCTTCCATTTACATATTCCAGCGTTGCTTTAAACACATCTTCCTGTATCCTAAACAAAATGTGTATTTTAAGTGCAGCTGACGCAACATATTTGAAAAACTCAGTAGGTTTCGACACTTCCATAGCGCCACATTAATTCTTGTCCATTTTCTTCTCCATCCAAGGGAACAATTGCTGTCTCCAAGATTTCTGGGTTCACTGCTCTTGAATAGAGCTCAGATGTCGCGGCGCTCTCAAAATTATGAAATGGAACGGTCCGGCGTATTTTTTGCAGTGGCCATTACAAAACGACGGCAAAGGAAACATGACGCGTGAAATTGCGCAATGCATGACAGAGCTTCGGACATCCGTATCCTCGAACTGCGGAACGAAGAAAATGGAAACGGCTTCCTGTGGTGCCTTTGAATTTCAGCGACCGCTTCCATCTGAGAGACATTGCTTTGACAAAACAACTAAAGCATCAGCTATTGACACAGTATTGACGTTAGCATTGACACATATTTTAGCCAATACTAGCGAGATATCGCAGTCATATTGTGCCCGAACGTCCGATAATAGGAACTATATTCATATGCTAAAGCGCTGTTTGTACGTTGTGAAATGCACATAGCTGATAGCACCTACTTTGGAGGTTCATTCCTTATAGATCCATTTCAAGAACGTTGGTCACGCGACTACACATTCTGTCCTGCTTATTATAACGTTTCCGTAGGTCAATAATTAGTTCATAAGTTTTTGGCCAGCCTAGCTATGTCATACCGTGCCTCGCAGCCCCTCTTGATCTTACTACATATTAGCTCCGTTAAGAGCCCCATCAAAAGATACTACGGGCTCGCTAAGATATTTCATCCGCCATTACCCGCATCAAATAACCATTCTCTAGTTGAGGCCAGTTCCGTAATCAACTGTAATTATCGACCATATGAACGCCAATGTTGTCATTATCTGACTTTCCTGAAGCCTATCATTTCGCCTCACAAATTTTAAGGATTATTTCTCCAGCGCTAGCCAGTCATAGCTCGGCGAAATAATGGAGTTCAACAAATATTTGTAAATGGCAGAAATGCAATCACCCCGTCAATAGTTTTACCAAGGACCGCCGAAGGACGCGATAAGTATTGTCCTCCGCGGCAATCGCTCCCTCACCGTTCCGTGCTTCTATCCTCAGGATACTGAAATCCTTCTCCTCCACGCCGCAACCCCCCTCCGGGCTGGACAGGCAACTTTATCTCATGCGGGCTGCTCCCTTGGAGCGGCACCGCTGCTCCCGAGGGAACGCACCCCGTAGCCGGGTGCAGTGAGTGCCTTGGGGCTGGGTGGCCTGTCCTCTGGACGGGCTCAGCCCCGGCGACTCACTAGGGTGCCTGCCCAGACCAATGTCTCCCCCTATATCCTATCATCCTCCCGGCTCTGAAATGGTCTCATTGGACCGAAAGGGCCTAACCCAACAAAACAAAAAAAAAGCAATCGCTCAATTTGAAACGGAACATTTTTTTTCGCGTACATTCCGAGTCTTCCTGCAAGGACGTAAGTGTAAACAGACGTTTGTACTCGTAGAAAGTGCATTACGCTCTTGATGTCAGAAGAAACTAGACATGTAGATCGTGCCCACCGCGTCTAACCGTCCCTTTCTTCCCACTTTGTGACAGAGTCGATGATTCTCCTGGGCAGCATCAAACGGAAACACCTCGTTCTGTTGCTGGAGAAACATCTGGGCCGGGACCGCAGGATGGAGGTGGTCACTCGCTGGCAGAGAGCAGCACAGAAGTGAGTGAACTGGGGGAGAGGGCAGCACAAAAGTCAGTCAGCGAGGGAGAGGGCCGCAAAAAAAGTGAGTCAGCTGGGTGAAGGGGCAAGGGAGAGGACACCCTTTATTGAGTCGATTGGGTTTGGAAAAGGATCAGAAAAAAGAAATAAGAATGCAAGTTGTCATCTGCTGTATGATGCTTGCGTAGAGACAGGAGAGGGCTGCACAAGAGATAATCAAATGATTGGTTGTGTTGAAACGTGTGTTGATACACGATTCATGTTTTTGCGTGGAGGAGAAATGGATGACCTGTCTATATGGATCTCCGACACTGATTTACACTTCGAGCTCACGACGTAGCTTGCCATTTCTAAGTCGAGCCTTATACAATGAAGCCGTTGTTCTTACAATTTCCAAGGAGATGCGCAATAATTATATGATGTTGATCGCTAGACAATATGTAAATGATAAATATAGTGATATCACACACTATGTACATGTAAAATTAAATAAGTTCTAAACAAAATACATCCGAGCGTTACCCGTCGCGCACCACCGATTGCACCGTCTCGCTGTCCGTTTGAGCCGCACCGATGCACACCCACGCATCTATCGCTGGGAGCCATTCGGCCCCCGGTGTGCCACCAATCTCTCTCTGGCCGACTATAAACCGGTGTCGAAAGGCTCGCCATGGGCACCTGGGAGGTGGAAAATGCGCCGCCTGCCGCCTTCATATGGCCGGCAGTGACGCCGTCCGGGCCGAGCCGGCTGTCGCCAGTGACCAATATTCGCAGCGGGCCAAATCCTGGCTAGCACCATTTGTCTTGCACGGGCCGGGCAAGTTGGAGCGATTTACCGAATCGGCCGACATCTGGCACCGCTGCAGAGGGGGCAGATGACTGCAGAGTGCTGCATCTGGGCACCAATTGCAGCGCGGCACCGATATGTGTCATTGCAGAAGTGAGGCCTGTCTGACCCGGCCCGGCATTGATGGGCGGTGGTATCGGTTTCGTGAGATGCATAGCGAAATCAGAAGTTGCTCAGCGGCTTCTAGGGTCACTCCAGTTTAGAAGTAGACCGGATGCTGCGGAACGTGTTATCGTATGGTATGATATTCGCCCAGCGTGCATCAGATGGGGTCGCCATCTCAGAAACAACGAACCTAGATAAGTGTAGACGATGGATGAATGAGTAAGTGGACACTCAAAAGAGTGCAAAGAACCGTTTTTGCTTAGCTTGAGCCGTTTAGAGGTAACTGATGACCTAAGTCTTACATTGTTCCTAGATAGACTGCGTCTTATGTTTTAACAATCATTATGATAATATAAAGAAGAGAAGATTCATTGCCTCCCCTGACTTCCATAAAGTAGATTCATGTTTTCTCGTGCTACAACAAAACATGTGGCTATAGATAGTTTTGTAGCGGTGGCTACCAGTCCGTTTCCAATCCGCAGTCCTGCAATCCGCTGTAATACGTTTCCGTTCGTCCCCGTAGTACATTGTCAGCTGTCGGTTTAACGGTCACGGCTGATCCACATGGTCCGCCGTCGCACCTGCTCCCTATCCGCACCTGCTCCCTATCTACTGAACCAGCGCTGTGTGAAACGACAAACCCACGCCGCTCCCACATACCACCCCTCCTCGCCCTTCAGGGTGCGTCTGAGCCGGCCCAACCGCAACTGGAAGGACCTGGTGGCACTGGCCACCCTCGAACGCCGCGAGGAGCTGCGCCGCGAACACGAGGCTGCCGAGGCGGCCGACGTGGCCGCCTGCCCCGAGCCGCCCGCCGAGGAGGAGCCCTCCGTGGTGGAGGTATCCGGAGCGCGGCTCGCCTGTCCTTCAGATGACGAGCGCGAGACGGAGGAGGAGCCGGTGCCGGTCAGGAGGACGTCCAGGTTCGCCGTGACGCCCGTGAAGCTACCGTCGCTGCGGCTGTCCGGTGCTGAGGCAGAGGAGAAGGAGTCAGACCAGGTGAGCGGGGGGAGACGGGTGGAAGGATGTGAGAGGGAGGTGGAGTGAGGTGTGACGTTGGTCGGTGCAAGCTGCTGGGACATTGCGGGGTATAAATTAGAGCGACAGCTATGACATGCTTCGGGAGGTGGTGGTAGAGGGACGTAAGATCAACGATCGTTGATTGTGAAAACGAGAAATTGTATGAAAAGAAAACGAGGATGCGCTCTAAACTTCTGCAGAGGTGATTAATGATTATGTTGATCAGATGGTTACGAAATGGACGGATAGCTGAAACAGTTTTCTTCTAGTTTCTACCTCAACTTAACTATTCAAAGCCCATGCACTAAAATGTGAAGGTAAAAAGCGTAAAAGCACGCTCTTTCTACCGTTCACTGCTCTTGCAAATGCAAAATTAGGGATAAGAAATGCACAAGGTCACATATAAACATAGCCCCAAAAGTTTTCTAATAACACCATGTTTTTTATCTTCAGCCTTCCTGAATATCTCGCTCTGCAGGATCCCGCGCAATCGCAAACTAATACAGTAGATACCCAGTGACAAGCCGTCACCTGCTCACAATTCCAGCAAGTTTGCTGTTGTCGCCGGTCCGCGATGGTGGCATCCCACCGGCGCCCACCAGGATGCATTCTATCTCCACACAAATTGTTTTCCCATCCAGCAGGTGCTGGTGGCTCGTTACCGGTGCGGACCTGTATTTTCCGGTCCGTCGCCGCCCTGCCGCCCGTGGGACCGGCGCGGTACTGTGTGTCCTCCCCAATCGGGGCCCTGCAGGGGTGCCGACCGACAGCACCTAATTGCACGGCCAGATACCCCGCAGATATGCACCGCAGGCGCGCCATTGACGAGTGGTGCTGTGTGCGTCACGGTGTTAGTCGCTGGGTGACTGGCTAAACGAACGAAACTCATGTTGAACAATATGAGAAAGCGCTTGTTTGAGGCTCATGATGATGATAAGTATAATGATAAAAGAAAACCGAAGCCTCATAATAATGAATGTATTTTAATTTATGATGTATACTTGCATACACTCGCAATCATTTAACACACGCACTGCAGCGGGTCTGAGCCGAACACGAACTGCAGGGGGGTTGAAAACACCCCCCCCCCCTAAGATGTCGAAAACGGCGCAACGTAGCGACAAGCGGTAAACGGCGTTGGATAGGTTGAGATGAGATCTACAAGAAATACTAAGATCATTTTTGGGTCAGGTCAAAAACGAGGTCAGCAGAGGTCACCAAACTCAAAAATGTTGCGATTTTTAGCGATCTCGACATCCCTCCATATTTCCCGCTTTATCTCGGGAACTAGATGAGCTAGAAAGTTGCGAAAAAAGCATTCGATAGCTGTTGAAACGCTCTTTCGCTAAGCTGTCCTCAGATTTGACTTAAGGTCAACGGTTCAACCTATAGAGGTCATGTAATGTCAGATCAATATTGCAAATTTTCCGGAAATGCTTTTTCTGCAATAACTTTTCTTCTCAAAGAGATAGATAAGTAATTCACACACCATCGTTCTTAGCTCGTCAAGGCGCATCGAATGGTATATAATATGACCTTGAAAGGTCAAGTTCAAAAGTTGACCTCAGGTCAAGGTCATGACCTGACCGAAATAGGTGCTGCATATCATTCGATCCGCATTGACGAGACAAACACGAGAAACGTCGAACAGAGTCTCTATCTCTATTCAATTAAAAGTTATTGAAAAAAACCGTTGGTGACCTCAGGTGACCTGAGATCGAGGTCATGTTAGGTCAAACCTTGACCAAACTAGGTCAAGTTGCATTTTGATCGACGCGTCTTGATAAAATAAGCGAGATGGTGAAAGAATGACGTTTCTATGTCCCATACTTCTCGAGTTATGCCCGAAATTGCATGCCGGGTCCCAAAAAGTGACCTGACCTAAGGTAACAGAAATAAAAATTTCGAAATATACAAAATGTTCCTTATGGTCTCCTAATATGTTTCTGAAAGTTTCATAGCATTCAGTCAAATGGTGTGGATGTAGCACAGCGTCAAACTTTTTATGAGCTGAGGTCACTTATCGTGACCTGGTGACCTGACCTTGCATGACCTAACACTATTTTTTTCAGAGGTGATGTACAATTGTTTGATGAACAGTTATACAAAGTTTCAAAGCCGTAGCTTCACTGGTTTTTGAGTTACAGCGAAAAAACCAAAGGGGGGGGGGGTTGAAAACAACCCCCCGCAGTGCGCGTGTTAGCCCGGCAGTTGCTGGGGTATTTCGCCACCCACCGTTTGCTGAAGGGGGGGGGGGGGCGTTAAACGCCCCCAGCCGATAACTCGAGAACCAATAGGCGCAGCGAAACGCACGAGGCGGCAAACGAAAGAACGCGACGAGACTCTTCAGATGAGTACTTTAAAGTTGAATGTTGAGGTCACAGGTCAGGTCAAGGTCAGGTCAAACACCTGAAATCGGGCTTTCAGTAGCATGGGCTTCAGGACTTCGCAATGGGCGCCTCTCGTCATAAACTCTGTCAAAACGGTGCACAATCCATCATATAAGGCCTACAAGAGTGTCAGCTTTATGTAGGGGTCAGTCAAGCATAGGTCAGGGTCAAGGTCAGGTCAACCGGGCAGGCACATATCCCCGAAAATCAAAACTGATATTCGCAGCCTGTGACACATGTTTTATGAGTAATTTGGGGCGTAGAACACGATGGTGACATTCATTTGACCATATGTATGTGTACCTAAGTGTTTGGCTAAAAAAGTTCAATTTAACCCGCGCGGGGCTGGGGTCTCCAGCCGAACGCGCGGGGCTGGGGGGGGGGGGTAAATTTTACCCCCCCTGTTATCTCCCGAACTAACGGTCCGATTTGGAAAATTCAAACGCCAATCGAAAGCTCTCATCACGAACTACTAAAAACATGTACTTAATTTAAAGTTTGAGGTCAAGGTCAAGGTCAGGTCAAGGGTACAAATTGCAAGTTTCTACAGTATCGGCCTTGCATCGTAGTTGCCGAAGAATGGAGTCATGGACTGAGACTCATCGCCCAAAACGTGTTCTTAGGCTACCAAGACAATATTCGTTACATACAATATCATTCAGAGGTCAAGGTCAAGGTCAGGTCAGGTCAGGTCACCAAAAAACAAAATATAGAAAAGGGCATGTGCGACACATGTTTTATGGGTCATTTTACTCATAGAATTCAATAGGCACACTCAATAAGTGATATGGACCACCTCTGGATGAATTTCAGGTCGAGGTCAGGTCAAGGTCAGGTCAAGTGAGGTCAAATTTTGAAGTTGGTTGTTAGGGCCTAAAAAGGTGTCTATCTGATGCAGTTTTTCACGGCGAATCGAATGGTGCTATTTTTGTTTCCGTACGAGGTCTAGAACTTCCAAAAAAGTCATTTTTCAAAAAAAATGTGTGTCGTGACGTCATAAAATTTTGAATAACTCCCACATTTTTGAACCGATTCTTCTAAAATTTGGTATGTAGGTGCACATAGACCACTTCTCTGACATATATTCCGGTTTTTTCGATAGACTCAAAATTTTGGATTTTATAATGATTTTCCCAAAAAAGTTAGTTTTTTGAAAAAATTTAGGCCAAAATCCAAAGTTTTCAAAAAACCGAGATAGCCATTTGATAGACAAAGTAAAATTACGTATAACCTTTTTTGTTACGTCTTGATTCCTTTAAAAATGAAGATGTTAGCGGCGTTTGAACTTTTGCCGTTTTTGAGGCGAAAATGACGAACATGACGTCACTAAAACGTCAATTTCTCAAAAATTTTCCGACGGATTTCGCTCAAATTTTCAGGGAACGTGTCAAATTGATGTAAGAAAAGGTACTGAAAGTTTGGCGGCGCTGCGCGCCGCCGTTTTTGAGATATCGCAAAAATTCGCGAGGGGGGGTAAAATTTACCCCCCCCCCCAGCCCCGCGCGGGTTAAGAAATGCATGTATCATGGTCGTGAAGTAGTTACGAGAAATTGCCAAAATTCAGTTCAAGATTTTGGAAAATGCGGAACAATAATCAACAATCGAAGATAGCCATTTGATTGTTCATGGTATTGGCAGTCTAATGGCGTTTACGGCATGTCTGTATGTCCGTGTGACTTTATATGATTTTTTGAACATATGCCGTTTTTGGTCGAAAACTCAGAAATCATGACGTCACTAAAACCTCCATATCTCAAAAAATTTCCGACCGATTTTTTTAAACTTTGTCACAATTCACTTCAATCAATCAATTCTGTACAGGTACGTAATAGAGGTGGCAAAATGTGGACCCGAGGACCCGGTCCAAAGAACCAGTCTGGACCCATATGGGTCCAGACCGGTTCCTGGAAATTTTCTGATGGGTCCAACCGGGTCCTTCCATAAACTATACATCTTGCACACTACACATTATTGCAAAATATGAAGTGAATTAAGTGAATGCTTCTTTGCGCACAGTAGCTCATGAGTATTTCCAATTGGAAATAGGCTGTTTTACACGATGCAACTAATGATACCTACAAGTAGTTTGTATCCATTGACTGTTGGGGAACGGGTCCAACTGGTTCCGATTCCAACTAAGACCGGGTCCGACTGGTTCCAGAAATGTCCAGCCGGGTCTGGTTCGAGTCTGGTTCCCAAAATTTTCATCTTTTGCCACCTCTAGTACGTAAAATTTGGCGCGCCTGTGGCGCGCCGTTTTTATGCTATGGCCCGGCGAAAAAGGTGGGTGCGTTTAACGCCCCCCCCCCCCCCAGCAACTCGCGGGTTAATAGATAATGAAGGTGCATCCGGGTTTGATTTTGTCTTTATTTACGGTTAGTTTCTTTCTGAGCTTGTGTGCTAGCGACAGCTGAATACCGTTCTTAACTCGTAGGTAATATTAGGCAAACTGTAAGCTTGTCAACATCTTTCCAGCTTTTGAGCGAGTTTGAAAAGCCAAAAGAGCCGCTTCTGCTTTTTCTGCTTGCTGCTTAGAATTGACAGTGATCCATTTGTTATGTAGCTAAATACACCCATTACAGATATGTTCGAAGAAATCTTCATATAATGTTTTGTCGGCGTAATTTGTCTGACGTGTTTGCGAATCGTTTTAATTGCAGCTGTTGTCTTCCACTTGTAATTTGTCTGATGAAGAGTGCGGTGAAGTAAGATTTGCATGTTCTAGCTAAGATATGGTGGTATTTGCATTTAGTCTAGCTGCATATCCCGGTAAGTTGTTTTATGAGGAGTGCCACGATATGACATTTCCATAAAAAATCACGAAAAAACGAGCATTCAAATAAGTATCTTATTCAAGAGCTATGTATCTATTTAAAAGACTGTGTTTTATCAAATTTTACGCGATATATGCAGCAGCTGCATGTGGCATTGTTCTTTGGTATCGGCAATCGTTGTGGGCATGGACATCCATGCCATTCTGTCCCTGACCCGCCATTGAAGACAACTGAACCACTACTTTGTCTTTATCTTTCCAAGCCGGAGCCATTGATAAGCTGTCACGTATTCGAGGGGAGCCTTGTTATTTGTTAACCCTCGCCCGCACATGCCATTTTCCCATCCTAGAACGCACATGGGGGGGGGGGTGGTTGCCACCCCCCCCCCGCGCCATTTCGTTCCTGTTGGAGATAGAGCTTAGCAGTAAAGACCAAAAAGATTCTTTGGGAAGAGACGAATCCAATGATACCCAGTTTTACTTTCTCAGGTCAGTCATTGACCTTCCAGGTCAGGTCAAACAAAAGTATTGCTGTTTTGGGTCACCGTTGGATATCAAGTGCGCTGCTTATCAAATACCGATGACGATGCTGTTTTCTGGTGCCAAGCCAGCTAGAACCTCTTTGTCACACTACCCGACCAGAATTTTGATGCTGAGGTCATTTCAGGTCAAGTTAGGTCAAGGTCAATTATATGTGTTTGTATGTCTGTGTGTGTCTGTGTGTATGCTGATGTGTGCACCGATTGTTTTTGGGTCCATATTACATGAAATCATGATCTGAGAAGCTTTTACCAAAAATGCAGTCAAAAAACTTCACAAAAAGCAAATTCAGCTTGCCTAAAACGCAATTATCTTAGATGACCTAGGTTGACCTTGACACTGACCTTGACCCCTGTACATCGTCGAGCAACATGTTCCATGATAGGTGGGAGGTAAGACTGGCAAAAAAGGCCGAAATCAGGGTGTCAAAAGCTCACAAGGCCCATGGCAAGCGCAAGATGTTGAGAATTGGCCATTTGGGTCATGACATGACCTGAAAAACAAGTTCATATCTCCGAAACCAAAAATCACAGCAACTTGAAATTTTCAGTGGACATCAAGAAAGGATAGAGGAGCAGCTATACGAAAAATCAGCCTTCTAGCTCTAAAAATATTGAGTGCAGAGCAGAAAGACTACTTGGGGGGTGGCAACCACCCCCCCCCCCCCCATGTGCGGGCAAGGGTTAATTACGTAACATGAAACTAAATATTTTAGTCCTTCCTTCGCTCAGCTCGGATTTCTGAGGAGTCACGTGAACCATCCATTTACTGGGCTCGGGCGGTGCCTTTTCAGCGCCGTGGCGTGCTGGCGTTTGCGGCGCATTAGGGCACCATGTCACTCTGTGACACTCCCGTGCAGGAGTGAGGGCGACGCCTGTCAGTGGGAGCGAGTGCTCGCCCGTCAGATGTGGTCCTGATTGGAGCGGGGACGGGATGCGCCGATCGCGGACTGGTGTAGCACATATCCGGGGTATCGGGTGGCCGCTAATGGTCACAGACGGAAATCTCCCCGCTCTGACCGGTCGTCGCTGAGGGACGGGTGACAACATGATACAGCCCGAGGTATACAGCGGGGCTAGCCGAGCGACGGCGCGGTCTCGTCTGAACGGCAGCTCTTCAGTTGGTGTACCGACTGACAGGCTGACTGAGCAATGAGCACAGCCGACTGACATCACAACACTGTATGCTGACACGACGACACGGGGATAACTGACAGCACAACACACAACACATCTTTCCGAGCGGCAGTCTGATTCTCCGACAGTTTCCAAGCGAAACCTCGACTACCTGAATGAGCCCCGACCGATTGCGCCACACATTGATCAGACATTCAACTCGCGCTAAGTTGCTCTTTGTTGTAGTTCAATAATTGCCTGGCCATTAGAGCTATCTATACCTCCGACTAGCTGGGAGATCACTTGGGAACAACTTTGAACACTTTGAAATCAACCTCGACTCGCAGAAGAGCCATTCTGCCAGACGAGGATTCGCTTCATCTCTGTTCACGTGTGATCCATCACCGTCTCTTAGGCGGCAGGCAGTGATGGTCTCCCCATCCGTCCTCCGTTCGCCCCTACCCTGTCCTGGACAGTGGCGATCTCCGCCCCAGGGCGCGACCCGTCTGCACCTCGGCCGCCCTCCGCCACCGGCTTCCGCCCGCGCACCACGGTCGGCCCGCGAGATGATCCATTATCGGAGTGGCCCGCCTGTCTGCCACCGGTATCGTCTACAAAAAGCCGGCGTGATGGAGGACAAGCGTCGACAGCAGGTACTAAAAGCCCTGGTATGGCCTAAAAAAGAGCCAGCTGAGACGGAATTGAAAGGGTTGGTCTCAGAGCGCACTCAGGTAACTAGGTTTAAATGGTTTATTTTCCTTGGATAGCCCGATCTCTCTCCTTTAAATGTTGCACAGATCAAATAACCGAATGCCTTTACCAGACTCGGTAAGGTAGCGTCACCTGAAGTCGTTTGTGGAACACAACTTCATTATTCTTTGTTATTCTCCTATGGGCTGCAGTGGGTTGTTTTGATGTAAGTACATTAGGCTGCAGGACCAGGCACACCGAGGAGCTGCAAGAATGGATGTAGGGTCACACTCACGGCCAATTCTATGCTGCACTCAATGATCGTGGAGCAACAGTCGAAACGATTTCGCTGCCATAAAAACTTTTGCAACGATAAGTTTGTTTCCAACAGTTCGTGACGAATCGGTGTGAAACGTCTCCAAGTTCTTGGAATGGTGTCTGAGTTTCGAGGACTTGACACGGTCGTCTCTGGCATGTTTTTATCAGTGGATCTGCGACTGTCGTGAGATGCGACACCCACCAGCGGCGGTTTCGTGATGATCGATTCGTTCTCCGGGTCGTCGTCGGTGATAAGTTTTATTTCCGACCGCTAAACCCGACCGTTACCCGGCGGGATATCGCGCATCCCCGTCCCGAAAATGGTCGCGGCGACCCGGTGCTGAGGAAATGGCCCGGCCGGGCCGGCGACCGGGCGCTGCGCCCCGCGCCGGCCCTGCCCGGCCACCCCGGCGCCCGGGGAAGATGGGCCATTTAGGCGGCGACTGGGTCTCCGGTACGGCCGTAATGGGCTATTGTCAGTGTTCCGTGCCGACCAAACGGCGCTAATCCGATATAGAGCCATCACAGAGGCGACCAGTCATGCGTTCGCCTTCTCGGCTGGCCCACTAATCATATGGCAAATGGATCACGCTCGTGCGCCGCGATATGAGGGAATACTCACGGACCAATGATGAAATGTGGCCCCGAGGCGTTGAACGACCCTCCGGGAAATATGCGCGGCGAGGTTGGACTGAACGTAATCGATCGAATATATGTAGATGGTGAAACTCTTTCAATTGAATAAGTTTCCTAGCATCCTCCTTGGATCATTGCATTGGCAGGTAGCTAATCTCAGCGAAATAGTAGGTATTCGATGAAATACGACAGTAAAAGTATGAATTTTTAAGGTAATATATTATTAGTTTTGTGGCGTAAATTAGGGTAGGTGTTGCTGTCGCCTCTGCGTTCAAAGACGGCATCATTTTATTTTGTTATGTAGCAACGCAATTGAACAATATAAACGTGTCAAAATAAGTACTTACACGGTGTCGAATGTCGATTAATTGTTTTCAATAACTCATGTATTTATGGTCTATAAAGATAAACAGCCTCACTTTATGCATCAGCTGGCCCGTTCACTGTTTTTAGAAGTAGCACCGCACAACCCCACTCAGTCTTCCATCCCCTGCCAACCATTGCCCTTGCCCAAGAACGTTCTCCGTACCTGAGCGGTAACTATTCATTGCCTGTCGGCTCAGGGAAATTTCGCCCGCCCCCAGGAGGCAGGTGTCGTCAGATCGTCGAGTCCGACGCCGTCCGACGCGGCGGCCGGCCGTCGGCCGCTCAAGCCCATCCTGAAGAAGACCAACTCGTTTCGACTGTCCCCGAGCAGCCGCGAGGCCGGCCACGTGCCAACGCCCTACGCCACCGTCACCGGCGGCACGGGAGACAGCAGGTAAGCGGATAAACAAGAACGGATGGCCGGTGAGACGGCCGAGAGTGGCTGCTTTATGGGACTGTATGTGATGTGGTGAGGCTTGTGGCGACCTTGGGAAATTGCTGTGCTGGAGAGGAGGTGGGTTTGAGTTTCAAAAGTGAGATATGGTACTTTGGTGCTGCGCATGTATGAAAAACGGTTACCTAGCTGTCCTTCATACTGTATATTGAAGGGAAAGGAATAACACGCACCTCACAGTCGTTATGTTAGGCGCCGCGTTATGCCGTATCCCGCGCTATAGTGCAGTTTTTGCTAGATACCTACCTACTCTCTGAATGCATGACATTAAGCATAATGAAACAATTTATGTAAATCATCAAATCATTTTTATAAATGTACCCGCCTGCTAGTAAAGTGAGAAGGATTTCGACGCAGCCTCGTTTCACGAGCCGTGAGTTCGTACGTCAACTGCGGATCAGGGTCGCTCGCTGCGACAGGATTCGGCGGATCTTGCTGATGACCCACGGCGTCCAATCGGATGGCTGCAATCAGTCACGTGACGAGTGATCCCCTCCAAAGCTGGTAGGGACACTTTTGCTGCTCTAATTCCAAACACTTGGCTCAGAATGCTAACATTGATTCCATGCTGACAGAACGCTCCTGACGGCTGACACATACACATAATAGGTATAACACACGCACTAAAAGTGTAAATATTATTAAACCGCAACGCGTCGGAGCTCCTCATTGGCTGGTTATGCTGACTCTCGGTTGTGGTTGTTCGTTCAGGATGCAGACGGCGCTGGACCATGTTCTGCAATCAGCACCCTCAGCCGACGGGAAGAAGGCGGCCAGCAGCGGCGATAGTCCCGAGGACGAAAACTGCGCGCGCGAGGAAAATCCGCCACGGTCGCGGCTAACTCCGACGGAGAAACGCGTCACCCTGGTAAGCATGGTGCTGTATTCGGGTTTGGGAGTTTTTGGCAACACATTTGTTTTGTATTTATTTGTGTTGTCAAATAGCGTTTATTTGTTTCCCAGGTGACGTTGATTTACGAAATGTTATGGTAAATATGTAAATAAATGAAAACCATTGTTTATCACGCAAACAAGTTTTGTCGTGAATGAAATTTAAATTCAAAATATTGTTGTCAAATGATTTTACTGTGTTTCCGCACTTGTATACCTTTCACATGACTTTCACGAAACAATAAGGTTAAAAGTTAGAATAAGGAAGCGATCATTAATTCAAGTAGAATGGTTATGATCGCGCTCGTAGATCCATCATTATAAAACATGGAGTGTGGTCAAATAATGAATGATAAAGTGGTTCTTCAAACGACAAACAGTCTCCCGACTGCAGGACGATGTTGGGTCACCCGCGCTAGCCGGGTTCGTCTGTGTGGGCTCAGTGGGAGTAACCTGGTTTACCCATGGGTGGTGTGAGCTGCATCGGACAGGAGGGCTGACAACGACCGCGTTTAAAATCGGATGAGGCGTGCACTCCCCAGGCGACGCCTGCAATTGTCTGGAGATATAGAACTTTCGTAAACCCATTTCGCAGAAGCTCGGAAGTGTATTGCCGGGCTCCATGAAGTTCGTGGTCAGCTAGCCAGGGCTTATCAAACATTGAGGGCAATGGATGGCGTTATTTGATTCCATATTTGTTTATATTTTTATCAGCATATGTTACACAATTTGCGAAATTTTTCAGTGGCCCAATACATTAGCATGCAAAAGCTTAATTTTACTTTATGACACAAATTAGTAAATATCTGTTCAATTTTAATAACTTCAACCAACAGCTATCAGCCATGCTGTATTTACATCGAATCAGCTGTCACAGGAAATATAATGAGCCGAGCCACGATACACGATTTTACGGAGTAAATAAATACCTCTGCTCATATTATTTTGTAGTATAAGTTACCAAAAGTTGTCAAGCATCATGGCAAATGGGGCTAATTGTTAGTGATTTGTTGCGTAGTAGGGTCATTTTATTTCCAGCTAGCCGGTTTATTTGACATTTTCTGACATCGCATTGTCGTTGGGTTTCAGCTGGAGAGGGCCATGCGCCTAGTGCGGCGATATGAGGTGCTTTTTCTCACTCAACCACAATTATGGCATGCAATATCACTTCCTGTCAGCCAACACTTTTCCTTTTGTATAATTTGTTTTACAACGAGACGTATACTTAGGTGCTGACCTTTCCCGGTTACATAATTCCAACCTTTTTGCAAATTGGCAGTGTTAGATGCTAGTTTTCAAAGTTCAAAAATTTCATTTAATTTATGAATTGCTTTCAAATTGCTTACAATGCATTGCAAGTTATTAGCCATTCTTAAAAAAGCAGATTGGATCGCTTCAACGCACTCTAGTTCAATTGTTCGAAGCTGGCATTGAAGCAAGCCTTAAATTGATTGCCTTTTTTCAGGGCAGTTCATCAGTTATGTCTTTAATTTCATAACTTGTGAATGAAACATAAAATTGCGAACTTGAACTTGGAACAAAAGAGCTGGTAGCACAAACACTACAGCTATTTAAGAACTGCCCGGTGTCATGGCACGTGTCTCCCCTGCATCGCACTTTGTACTGAACATACCATCACCGAAGTCAACTGATTTTTTTGTATATCCCATATGCTTACCCTAGATGACTGGTTGGTAGCGCCTTTCTGAACCTTATATGCTGCCTGGCTTATGTTCATTCTTTATCTTATAAGATCTGCTTTAAATGCGTTTTTCTTGCTTCGATTTTTTCTCCATCCATCTCATGAACCCTTTGCAGATAATTTCTTTAATTATTTTATGATATTTTTATTTTTCTCTCGTTGGGGCACTAAGCTAATGATAGAGGTCCCTTCTCGATGCACAATCAGTCAGTCTTGGCTCATACAACGGAAACAGAGAAAGACTATTTTTTCATAATAATATCGTGTTTTCTTTCTCCAGTCCCAATCTGTCGCGTGTAATAGTTGTAGGTACGAAAAGTTATAACGCAAAAAAGTATGCTTCGGATTTTACCCTCGTTAGACATTTACTGACGAGTAAGAGCATTGTACAACTTACAATCAAGTACAACAAACAATCAAGCATACAACTTGCGCTCGGACCATCGGTTGCTTATGCTGATTGTTGTTTTGCTTTTCACCATGTTCTCACCAGCCGGTCGAGAGAGTAATCGACATGTCTTACGAAGACCAGAAACTCTGGGAGGAAGAGGAATTGGACAAGGAGGTCAACTTTGAAGATTGCAAAATAGGTAAGCAGAAGCTTTTGTCAAACGTGTAGCAATGAATAAAATAAATTCATCACTAATACAAATTAATTGTTACTGCAAGCATATAACCTTACCGAATTCTATAAGCTTTTACACATAACAAGATTAAAGTGTTTGTTGTTTGTAGAAATTTCATTGAAATAAATAACACTGAGTCATTTGTTATACCGGAAGGCGGCTATGACATGCTAATAAGGGTACATTTGATCTAGTATGCATGATTAATTTCAACATAATAACAAGCATGGTAAAACTTGGGTGATATGAAACTTGAAACGAAGAAGAATGGCCGCAGTGTGTCTGACGTGTCTTTAATTGCGACATGGTGGTGTCACAAATGCGGTCAACTGCATGCAATTAAACTTCACTCTAGTTTGTCGAGCGCCAAGTCGAATGTGACAGACGCTGCAGATGTCCAAATGGCGTGGTTATTGCATTTAGTACGACTGAGTGCGGCGATTAATTCATGTCGTCAAGGAGTCTCAGGCCTAGCCGACCTATACTCTCGGCTAGGAATCAATGCGTTTTATGGTTGCCGAATCTATATTACTATTTGAGGTGACGTAGTTTCTGTCTATTACGAAGGCCGCGACATGGTGCTACGTAGCGCGGGTTACAGGTCACACCGTTGGACTTACCGCGCTGCGCAACTCATAGAACAAGGATGGACAACGTGCCTTTGATGGGTCTCAGCTCGATCGGATCGATAGCGAGCGCGTGGCGCGTGCCCAAAAAGTGCAAATTCGCGTCATAGACTTTACATGTATTAATCGGCTGGCAAAAACGGGCGAAAACAGCCAAATTTGCCCGACACAGGTCCGGTCCCGGTGCAATATCTCGGTAACCGTGGACCCGACCGGTACGGGGAAAACAGCATCGTGTAGAGAATCGAACGGGCTATCGAATGGTGTGCGGTGCAGGGGTTGGCACGCGCCACGTGCACCGGGGAGGACACTTTCTTATGAAAAATGGACGTTTTGGACGGATTTTGGAATTTATATTAATTTCAGGTGATCGTCAGACGGAATGAGTTGAAACAGCGCCTATTAGCAATAAAAATGTACCGTCTCTCATGGAAAAATTGTGAAAAGCTAATTGATCAAAAACAATGTGGAAAAAATCGCTGAATTAAAGGGTATTTGTCCAAAATGTGCCACTAAATAATTACACGGATTTTGCTGCTTAACCTGATACGTTTGACAATTGAAAATGCTATCATTGGAAAGAGCATTCAATTCTCTCCAAGATCCAATCATCACGTTTGCATGACAAGCAACAGTATTCTTAAAAATATAAATGTTTCAAACCTCTGCAAAACGATTTTTAGTGAAAATTATCTACGCCTTTAATTTGTCATAAAACTACGCGCCTAAATTATAAAGCACATTTGACAGATTCTGAAGTGGAAAGCATGCTTATCAGACACGGGCACCTCGATGCGGTGGATATTTTTTCCACAAACCAAAACGTTTAGCCGTCAAAAAGCAATCGACCGAAATGAATAGATAACCCAACCGACAGAAGAACAACCGAACACCCGCCGATCGAAAATATCCCTTTTCGCGTTGCGGAGCACGCGGGTCACCCTAGTGTTTATCTATAGTTCCAGAGGCTACCAAATTGTGTACGCAAAGCCTGGGCAGAAGATATTGTACTTCAACGACTGCTGGCCAGGTTTATGCCGGGCTGAATACAAAACTTAAACTCAACTCACCCCAGCAATTAGCCTCAACAACTCAGTCGCCTTACCTACATTATCCCAATGAGTCTTGTCTGTTGCCCGATGACCCCGAGGCTTTTTGCTGCTGGCGAAGAGCAATGTTTACTCTTTGATTTGGCTCATGAAGTACACAGCAGAGCTGTGCTGAGCTGCCTCAGTGACCTGATTGCATGTGCCGCCCACAGATCCGGCCCCGTTCCAGCTAGTGGAGCGCACCTCACTGCTGAAGGTGCACTCGCTATTCTCAATGCTGGGACTGAACCACGCCTACGTCACAGCCATCGGCCGCCTTATAGGAGTCGTCGCCCTCAAAGAGGTCAGTTGGAGGTCCTGGTGTGCAGTCAGAGGTCAGTGGCTGTGTGGAGGGAGGTCAGTGAGTTGGCCCACGACGCGGGAGGTCAGTAGGAGGCCGATTGACTGACCTGAGAGCTTGGGATGGTTCACTAGATTCACCAGAGCACGAAAAAAGGTCAATGTATGGTCCCAGATCGTGCTTAGAGATTGGTGTGTGGCCCCGTGGGGCATGGAATCAGGTCACTTGGAAGCTTCGTGTGCGGGATAGCGGTTTTGTGCGGCTCTCAAATGCCGATAGATATTTACCCAGCCGTTGAGGCTGGGGATTGTGTATGCTGCATGCCTAACTAACAAAAGAAGCAGTTTTTCCGAGTTCAGGATGTTGTAGTAAATCTAGTAAATCTGCCGTGCTTGGTGGACTGTGCCTGCTCAAAAACTGAATATTAGGACCTAGAAGCGCTGTCTTCATAGCTGGTGGTAGATGAATAAAGTTGTTGAGGAATTTCTAGAGAACGCTAAATGTCTTCAGTAGCATTATTTTTGCCGAAAACTTGATTCATGAATCTGCAACAGTTTTAGAAGAAATAGTGTCTTCTCAACCGATATTAACCATAGTAATTCCTTAGTTATTATGATTACGTCAAATCTTATGTAGACCACACAACAACTAAGTTATGTATGTACGACCGCAACCGTGTTGTTACGCTTCGCTGCTTGCTGTGATGCTGTATCTGCAGTTGACTATATAAAATTGGTGTCACTTCTCTTTCCGCTGTTCCTGGCCTTCGGTGTGCTGTCGCTTTTCGACCGAGGTGCCCAGCCGCTCTGGATGTTGACCTTGTACGCCCTTCCTCATGCAGCTGAGGCAAGCTTTAGAGAGCACGACTAAGGATAGAGACAATGCCGAGCCCAACAGTCCCGTTTTGTTAATGTAAAGCAGTGAGACAGCAGCGCACGTAAGTCGCCCGGGATTCTTCTCTCCTCTCTATTTTACGTAGAGCTGAATGCATTTTGCATTTTTCATTATAGTTTGTGAATGTTCACGTATTTTGCTTTCTGTAGGGTGCTTGGATGTTATCGACCGATGCAGCATTTTATGCACGACATGAGCTATCAGTGTCGATGTTACGAAAACATGCGTCACTTTTCGAGCAGGAAAAGATTTTAGCAGGGGTTTTATGCATAGAGGAAAGTCACAAAGAATTCAACCAGCTATGCCTAATTCACAAATCCGTAGCATGAACTGGATGACCTTAACACATGGCGGGTCATTTATAGTGTGTTCATGAAGAGTTGAGGTAGAAAATGGCATTAACTTTGCCACATCCAATGGTAATTTGAAGCTTAGAATATTGATATTAAAAATAACGAAGCGTAATGAATGCGCTGAATAACTCAAATAGACCCTTCGCAACTTCTGCCATGCATGACATTGCCATTTGTATGTTCCTGACCTTAATGCAGCATGATGCAGGATCACCTTGCATGGTTCATGGGATATCAATTGACGTTAGTTATTCCACTTTCAAGTTAAACACATTACATTCGCAAGAAGACATGCGACCTCGCTCAAAGTATGACAAGGTCGATTTGGGTCGGACATGACGTTAGATCTGACATCACAACTCAGCGACCTGACCCCGAAAGTGATAGATTAGATCTTATGTTGGAAAACGTGTGCTAAATAAGGTGTCAAGCTTCTGTCCTTTACGTTTACGCATTTTATGTCTGCTTGAATTATTTAATAATTAACCCTGGCACTTATAGGGGGATCGAACGAACCCCCTTGGTTTTCGCAAATAACTCACGTAAAAAGCGGCCGACCGCGACGAAAGTTTCAGTACCCTCGAGATCATCAGTTTCACACCTACCCTCAAAATGTCATGTCCCTGACCCAAATGCCCTTTGACCTGTGACATAATCCTCGAGACCATGTTTGGCCGGAGTCGCGATTCGGCGTATGCCGGCTCACATTATCCGTACGTTTGCTTTTTTGTGGTTTCAAATGTTCAGACATGTGAGAGGATGCTTGTCATGCATATGGTGGGTGTAGAGGTCACCTGAAGTTCAGATCAGGTCAATGACTTTTGATGACCTTGGTTCACTTTTTCGAGCTATGTAGCTCGAGCTCGAAAATGCTCGAACTACATTGCTCGAAAGTGAGCTATGTTTTCGAGCTATGTTTTGGAGCTGATTTCGAATTTAGCAACCATTGAACATTTACGAAGTAGTTTTGGTGCCTTCGTAACATGTAACGAAGCTGTCAGTGGCGTATGACACCTACTATGAACACCCTGCAGTACTCCTACTGGTTGACCTGAGCTGACCTGACCCAACTTGGCCGAAATGCATGAAAACATCATCTATGATTGAAACTAACATAAAATTAGTGATCAGCACCACGAAAACCCCTTACCCACCTCACATTATGATATTCTAACAGGTCTTAATTTTCCCAACTCTTGGATCATTGACCTGACCTGGAAGGTCAACCAATGACCTAGAACCTGAAAATTGGATATCCTCGGCTTCCTCTCGTCACGGGCAGCACGCTCATTTTTTTCGCGAAGCTCTAGCTCGATCATGGGCCAAACGGCAGGGGGAAAGTTTCCAACGGTGATAGAAAGCACAAAAGTGATAGAACAAAGCGGATATCTCCAGTACCAGTACAGTACGAATTGAGTATTTATCATAGTCTTTACGACGTAATGACATCTACGTGACCTCAGGTCATTGACATAAAAAACTGAACTATATGTTATATGTACAACTAGGTGAACTTAGCGCATCCTGAAAGTTTGAAAGAAATCAGTCCAAAACTGTGAGTTGGACAGGTACATAAAGAAAATTGAAATCTGACCATGACCTTGTATCGGTTTTTCTGACCTGGTGACCTGACCCAAGGTCACCCGGACCTGAAATTTTCAGGACATAAATAAAAGGGTTGTCCCATAGGCTGTGCCAAATTTGGTGGCGCTGCGCGCCGCCGTTTTTACGCTATCTTCGAAAAACCTTAAGGGGGGGTCGCATCGACCCCCGCCTGCCAGGGCGAGGGGTAACCCGCGCCGGGCCGGGGTGTGTGTTTGAACACCCCCCCCCCCCTGCGTTTTTCGCAGATATCTAAAAAACGGCGACGCGGAGCACCGCCTTTTTTGGCACACCTGGTTGTGCATCTTTTCCTCACATGTTGTTAAAATTTCAGACCCAGGTCGCTCAAGGTCAGGTCATCAGGTCACGCCAAGTGAGCTCACCTCAGAAAAATTAGAATGCTCGTCATACCTACACCAACTGAACGATTGCCTTGAAACTTTCAACGATTGATAAGAGTAACAGTATCTATAAAAATTTTATCTCTGAATTTTGATATCGGTGACCTAAGGTCAGAGCCCAGTTTTACCAACAGAAAAATAGCCGCCTGCCGGATTTTTTGCCTGAAGATCGCTTCACATGCGGAGCATAAACGGTAAAGCCCTATCTGCTTACGTGCCCATCGCGTTTACGCTCCGTATGTGAAGCGGTCTTAATTCCGGCAAGCGGATATTTTTCTGTTGGTAAAACTGGCCTCAGGTCAATTTTACGGCCTTTCCATTAAAAGTCAAGCAATGGGAGAAAATTGAAAAGATCTCTTTTGCACGAACGCCATTCTAGACACTCTCAAACATCGGGATGCAGGTAAAATTGAGACACTGAACTGGAAAATGGCACCTGGGGCATTCCACGATAGATCGTACCACTTTTTTCCAAGTTGACACCCTCATCTCTCGGAATTCGACGAGAATTGGTCTCAGGGGTAATCAGGGGCTCTGAATCCACCTGTAACAATTTCAGGCTTATCAGATAAGTATTTTTTTAGTTATAGTGTATAACATTTTTTGGATCTTGCTTTGCAGCGCTAAGTTTGGCGGGCTGTAACTCTAAGACGGATTATTCAAATGCCAAATGTTATATAACATTGAACTTGCAATGAAACAGAGATTAATATGTATTTTTGAAATTTTGAAAAATACGCTATTTTTGATATATGACATATCCAGTTTTCTTTCATTTGTATTTTTTGGACTTTGGGACCAAATTTTTTTGAATTTTTATTTCTTTAAAAAAATATTTGGCTCATTGTTAAGAAGCATGCAAAAAATTAGGAAGGTGTTCTTTCTATAAATGTATTTATTTTACGTCACGATAACGGTTTCGAATAGTGATTTCGGGAGGGGAGCTTACAAATGGCGTGGTAAAGCTGCCTAGTGACAGCACGGGTTAGGGTAGCCTGGGGCAAGACGCCCCAGATAATTTATTTTGCTACATAACTTTTGTCCCACATCACCTGAAAGGCCAAATTTGTGCTCAATGCGTTCTTTGGACATTTTACTTTAAATTCCACCCCTCAAATTCATTCACTTGTGATCGGACTCCCAGCTAGGAAGTGATTTGTGAAGCAACTGCAAATAGGGCGTTTTGCCCCAACCCCAGGGCAAAACGCCCCACGGCCTGGGGCAAGAAGCCCCATACTCTAGATTAAAGATTAAACATGCTAGTTGACTAAATCTTATATGAGAGGTCCGTTAGACCTTGGGAGGCACGGCACTGAAGTTAGCACCTTCCATCCTATCAGGTGTTCAGCTACGACACTATTGTATGAGCAGGTTTTTCACCTGCCTCACAAGGCCAAATAATAAATTATTACAATGCAAATGTTAGCAAAATACTTCCTTTGCCATCCAGTTGCTGAGAAAAGTACATATAAATGCATAGAAACATACCGTTCGCCAGCTACTGAACATTAGGAAGTGGGTAGTCCGAACAACACATGAGGTAAAACGCCCCATGGGGCTTTTAACCCCGCGACCTACTGGGGCGTTTTACCCCATCACGTAGTTCGGTCAGAGAACAACGCCTTGCACTCCAGGAAGACATAATCTAACACGAACCAACCCGGCATTATAAGCGTTAGACAATAGTTGTTCAAAATACATAAAAGTCGTTAACCTGATGTGGACGATAAAAGAACGCCATGATGCATAATCTGACAACAAAACATAAAAATCACTCCAAAAACACATTTTCGGCTATATCTCCCTAAAGAGTCATCACAATTTCTTTCCAGTCTGCTCATATAATGATCGTATAGTGCACGTTTTATGGAAGAGAGGATGTTTCCCCAGAACCTTGCCAGTTCCGAGAAACATCGGTGAGGCGTTTTACCTCGGCGGGGCGACTTGCCCCGGTCTACCCTACTGAAATTTCAATTCAAGTCTGAGTCATCTGAAAAAAAGTGAAAAGAGGGTTCATTCAACCCTCTTTCCTATAAGCGCGAGGGTGAAAAAGGCTGTTTGGTTCTGACACTGTTTTGGACGCCAATGACCATAGCTGTCCGAGATGAAAGTTACAGGACGCATACATGGTGTCCTCCAGAGGTCTCACAACTTGTATATCTGGGAATTTTGCAAGGTTACATGAGGTCAGGTCGGTCACGCGACATCACTGTTATAAATCAATGAGGAAATATAAAAAACTGTTATTTTGGCGCCGAGAATGATCTAAAACTATCCCACGTACATGGTATCGTGATTTCATGCACTCCTTGCAAAGTCCAATGCTTTACTTTTGCATTTTTAACCTTGCGTGACGTCATTTATGACGTCACTAGGGTCGTACGAGTTTTTCGTCAATAACTCCCGATCAAATGGAGCTAGAGAGTCGGGAAAGCCACCAATGGACTCGGGAAGACCTTCCGAATCGAATGATATGCCATATGATACCCTTTGCCCAGCTTCGTGACCTAAAGGGCTCTGACCTGACCTTGACCCGAGGTCAACTACTTAAGTTGACCTCACCCTAGCAAAAAGTATACCATTAGATGCACCTGAGCTAGGCGAACACAATGATGCCAAAATCGCGGCTCTGCGGCCATTTTTGCGAAGTTATTTATTAAAAACCGAACCCGTAACTTCAGTCACGTGACCTGACCTCAGACGCTACCGGTTAACCTGAGACCTTAAAATCGGGTACCAATCGCTGCGACTTGTAACGGCACACACGCTCGTTTTTTCCGCGAGGCTCTAGCTTTATTAGAAGCGAAACGGCGTGCTGGGGTCGTATCAACCCCTCCGAAACCCATTTTGTTTGCGGGAAAATGAGGAACTTATAGAAAGAACACCTCTCTAATTTTTTGCATGTCGATTTGCAATGACATTAAGATTATTTTGAAAAAATAAAAATGTGAAAAATTTTGGTCCCAAAAGTCATTAGAGGCAAATGAAAAAAGATTAAGGCTTTTGCTCAAAAATGAAATTTTTTCTTTGGAATTTTTAAATAGTAATATTAATTTTTGATTCATCGCAAGCTTAGTGTTGTTTACTTTTTGTTGGTTACTTAACCCGTTCTTGAGTTATAGGTCATCAAACTCACCGTTACATACCGAAGTTAAAAAAATGTAATGCAATAAAACTCAAAAAGTGTTGATCTGAGAAGTCTGATATTTTGCCAGGCGTCTTTGGGGCCTATGATTACCCCTAGGACCGATTTTCATTAAAATCTGAGAGATGAGGGTGACGGGCCTGGTACGATCTATCGTGGAATGCCCCACCTGTGACCCCTCGTTATGTCCCCGAGGTCATCTCAGGTCACGAATAGTATCTAACAGTTTTCCGCTAATAACTGCTGATAGAATCATGCTAGAGCAATGAAAACGCCTTAGAAGTGTTCGACTCGACGATGCAGATCGACTGATATGCAACATGACCTTCTCCGGTCAGGTCATGACCTTGTCCTGTGGTCAAATTTTCAAGTTGACCTTTTAAGGTCATACGAGTATTATTGTTCATTCGACGAGTCTCGACAAGAGGAACACGATGCTGGCAAAAGTAATATCTTGGCTCTTTTGAGTCAAAGGTTATTGCCAAAAAAAAACACACTTTTCGTAAAATGGCTATTTTTGAAGTTTTTGCCCTCTGGAGGCTAAACCAACCTGAGGACACAAGAGGGTTAAAAGAGCTATCGAATGCACTTTCCCCCGTCGCTGTAGCTATATCGGTTCCCGAGTTACCCGTTGGCAGTTTCCAAAATGTTGAAATAGCCAACATTTTACCTTTGGTGACCTCTGGTGACCTGACCTTTGACCTCACCCAAAAAATGACCAGTGTTTTCGTCCTTATTTTGGACGTTCTTTCGATTACCACTTACCGCGTGTCGCCACGTGGTCCAGAAGCCGAGTTATAAGGGGGAGGGTTTAGACATCCCCCCCGGCCCGGCGCGGAAGTCTCTGAGCACCGGCCCGGCGCGGGTTCAAAAGGGTAGTGCGAGGGACCAGTTCAATACACCTAAGAAATAAAACATAATACTGTGTGCAATTGAATCGATGCGGGCCGAAAACCAAACAAAACCGATCGTTTCTTGATGTCGGAATGATATGCATTTATCATTGGTTTATTTATTTATTTATATTATTTTATTTTTATTTTCATTGTTGGACACAAGAAACAGTTCCCAACATACAAATATGTACATACGGATTACCGGTGAACCTCAAATGTTTGCACTGCAATGATGAATCCATTAAATTAGTTGATGTCCATGACATAACTTTTATTTTTAAATCTTCTTCATGAATCAAAAGTGCATGCCTGAAAAAATGTGTCATTGATACATGGGTTGATTGTTGGGATTGGCAATGGAGCAACGGTAACAACTGCTCATTTTATGGTAGCCTAGAAATGCACGTGAATGACTCCGGTTCAACCTTGAACAAACCTTGATTATTCAATTTGAAGTTAAGAGCGAAAAGGTTTGATAGGGGGTGGTGGAAAAGACAAATATCTTTGAATGAACTTGACCTTGACCCTGCTCTGATCGTGACCTGACCGTGACTTGATCCTGAACCTATCCTAACCTGATCTGACCGGACCTGACCCTGACCCTGACCCTGACCTGACCCTGACCTGACCCTGACCTGACCCTGACCTGACCCTGACCTGACCCTGACCTGACCCTGACCTGACCTGCCCCTGACCTGCCCCTGACCTGACCTGCCCCTGACCTGACCTGCCCCTGACCTGACCTGCCCCTGACCTGACCTGCCCCTGACCTGACCCTGACCTGACCCTGACCTGACCCTGACCTGACCCCGACCTGACCCCGGCCTGACCCTGACCTGACCCTGACCTGACCCTGACCTGACCCTGACCTGACCCTGACCTGACCCTGACCTGACCCTGACCTGACCTGACCTGACCTGACTCTGACCTCACTCTGACCTGCCCCTGACCTGACATGTCTGTTTCAGCTGAGACAAGCCATCCAGCGAGCGAACCACTTCAGTCCTGACGAGGACGTGGAGTCCGACTCGGCGAGCTCGGCAGCCAGCAGCGTGTCTCACCTCGGCCTCTTACCCCGGGCTGTCACCGAGCAGGACGCCCCTTCTCACCGTCTTACCGAGGACAGGGGCGCCCCTTCTCGCCGTCTTACCGAGGACAGGGGCGCTCCAACTCGGATCCCCAACTCCGTGGAAACTTGATCTCGACTCAGGCCACTCAAAAGCATGTTGAACTGTTCAAGCAGTGTATTCACAGACTCCATAAGAGACACTGGATGGACTCGGTGATCGAGTCGGCGTCTGTATCTACGCGTGTGTAGAACTGGGGATATTCAGTAAATGCTCAAATGATGATACGCAAGTTAGCGTTCATCGAATTGGAGTGAATGATTGTTTTATGCTTGTGCTCCTCAGAGTTCGTGAGAGTGCGTATTTGTTTGGAGTGAAGTGTGTCTTGAAAGATTTTAAACTTTTCTTCGACGGTGGTATGCGTCTATCGGTATATAACAAAATATAGTGTACGGTATGTGCTTTCCAACTTCTAATTGCCGCTTGCATCTGTATCTAGATCCGCGCACCTTTATCGAAATGATGTTAATCAGCACCCGACTTGCTTAAGTAGAAGGTGGCATTTGAAAGAGTTATTGTGTATAGTGGCTTGCTAATTGTGACTTTTGTTTCTTACTTCTTATCAATTTGCTGCCTTCCAATGGTTTGACTGGGCTAATCATGACAATTTTATTCGACAGCTTGTGGACAACGGCAATTGATTGTAGTGCCTTCCTAATGAAAAGCAATTGCAAACTACATCAGAAGTCAGTAGTCACATGAATTCCCAGTTCAGTGTGGACTGGTTACATTCATGGCTCATGATTTGTCCGGGCTACGTGCACACATATAAGGAAATTTAGCCAGACGGTTTCATTTTCATTTCACATCCAACGTGGTTTCACATAATCGCTCTCAATCCTTCCACCCCACCTGTCTTTTATCGTCGTATCATGATGAAGCTATTCTGAACCCCGTTCAGTCTTCTCCACCATTCCATGCATCACCATCGGTCGTCAAGGCGTCACCCAGCCAATCATTTTGTTCCCCACAAGCTCGCTCGGAGGTGGGCATGGGCCGATGAGGCGCGTCTTCAGGGCGTCTTCACGGACTGCGGGCTTCTCTAGAGTGTCCTCAGGAACTGCGGGCATTTCTAGAGTGCCCTCAGGGACTGCGGGCATTTCTAGAGTGTCCTCAGGGACTGCGGGCATTTCTAGAGTGCCCTCAGGAACTGCGGCGTGTCTGGGGTGCCCTCAGGAACTGCGGGCTTCTCTAGAGCGCCCTCAGGAACTGCGGGCATTTCTAGAGTGCCCTCAGGGACTCCGGGCATTTTTAGAGTGTCCTCAAGAACTGCGGCGTGTCTGGGATGCTCATAGGCACTGTGGGCGTCTTTGAGGCGCCCTCAGGGGTGGGTGTCTCTAGTGCGGTCGCAGGAACTGATAGCGTCTTAAGATCGCCTTTAGGGATTTCGGGTGTTTTCGTGTTTTTTTGCAGGGACTGCGGAAGTCTCTAGAACGCCCTCAGAGACTTTGGATGTCTCTACTCTCTAGAGCGGCGCCCTCAGGAACTGCGTGGTCTCCCAGTGTCTGGCCAATGTCACAGCTGACACAGTATGCCGGCTACGACCGCTGTCGAGAGACATGGTCCTCGACTGTAGGACTCTGTGACAGAACAGTCGCCTGACACGGGCGTCTCTGGTACGAGCCTTGTATGGTATGGCTGCACCGGTTTCTGTCGGACTCCATCCGTTACTGGGGCCCTAGAGAGGAGAAGTGAGACGGCAGAAAAAACAGATCACCGTCCGCCGCGGCGGACGCTCCGAGCCGCTCTACTGTCGGCTCGACCTCCGATGTCATCCGGCGGAGTTATGGGTTGGAGAAGAAATTCCTGTTGGCGATGTTTTGGGGATAAAGAGAGCACACCTACCATAGCCACCCGACAGATCCTGGTTTTTGATAGTGACTGTGTTATGTGTCATTTTATGTTGCTTCAAGGGATTGTCTTTTTCGGCATGGGCATTGGGTAAGGACTAAGGAGTAAGGGAACATTGGGATATAGGGTTTCGCCAAGGGGTCACTGCAACTTATAATCACTGTATTTACGGCATGTGGTCATTTTTCGGTCGATCGATTCGTGCCACTCAGTCGCAACATGCATAGATATTATATCTCTCAACATTTACACAAGCGCAGTCGCCAAACTACATAGAGTATGCGATTGTGTTTCGTTATTCCTATATGTGAATGTGATGACAAATTTGTTCAGTGTGCTGCAAGAGGCAGTAGTTATCTCAAAACTTATCACGCATTTGTCCACTATCGTCATTGTAAATATAACCATAAAACATGCGCGTATATATGGATGGTGCGTGAACTGTTGACTCACCTTCGTTTAATATGTCTAAATACATACATTGCGAAATCGTGTGAATGGTTTTTTATCAGGGATGCGGAGCCGTGGAAATTTCAGACGGCTCCGGCTCCGGCTCCGGCTCCGGAGGAAAAAATCGACTCCGGCTCCGGCTCCGGCTCCGGGTGAAATGTTGTGGCGGCTCCGGCTCCGGCTCCGGCTCCGAGTAAAATGGTCCGGCTCCGGCGGCTCCGGCTCCGGCGGCTCCGGCTCCGACTCAGTACATCCCCTATGCAATCAATTAAATACGAGTGGAAGAAAAATTGGATTGGTTATACGCGTTACTCTTTGCCATGACCGGCTCACCGCGTCCCCGCGCAAACGCACCTCGGAGAGAACTGGCAGAACAAAGGACTAGGAAGCGATGGCATTGGAAACGCAGTCGCCGCGAATTGGAGTTCACTGAACCATCGTAAACTGACACCAGTCTCGGCTGCATTGGGGGGTGGGAGTGGGGGGGGGGAGGGGAAGAGACGGTGCTGGGAGTCGCAGTCCACTGCCACTGGCTTGAAAACAATGGCCGTCACCTGATGACCGGTCCTCATGTTCTGGGGATGCAGTAGACGTGGGGGGGGAGGAGCAGACAAGAAGTTGATTGCGTAGGTACTGTGGGATACTGGGGATATTCGGCTTTTTTTCATTCACTTGATGGCCCATGACGTAAGTAAAGTACCATATGTTTTACTGCCTTGTACTGTCAAACCGAACTAGGTCAATTATTTTTTTTCCTCTTCAGAAAATAAAAAGGAGCCGGAGTCGCCCCCTTTTTTGGCGGCTCCGGCTCCGGCTCCGGCTCCGGGCTATATTGTTTCACGGCTCCGGCTCCGGCTCCGGCTCCGGGCAAAATATGTCGGCTCCGGCGGCTCCGGCTCCGACTCCGGCTCCGGCTCCGCATCCCTGTTTTTTATCATCAAGGACACAATTCAGATGTATTGCACTACTATTCCTTACTCTTACTCAATTCATCTGGTTTATTAGAACGAGAGTAGCGCACGGATAACAGCGAGGATTTCCATACAAGCCGTCGTTCACTGTTTACCTCTGCGCGGAAGGACGAGAGTATGTATTGTCGGCGTCCAAATGACCCTCCTGGTCGGACCAACCGCTCCATCACAGTCCACATCGGTGTGCCCCTCCACTTGATTACTAGACGTACTGCACAGTGCACAAGTCCTAAGGCAGATATGTCACGACATTAGAAGGCATGTCAGCGAAAGCGTATACCGTTAACCCTCGCCCCGTTGGGGGGAGCCAATTTGCCCCTCCCCCTGTGGTTTTTCCAGAATAGCAAGAAAACGGCGGCGCCCAGCGCCGCCAAATCCTCAGTACCTTTGCGAGTATCAATTTGACACTTTCACATCAAATTTCAATTCTTAGGTCGCCTTAGGTCAGGAGTTCTTGAGGTCGAACTGAGGTCATGTTCGAGCAAAAATGAGCAGAAAATATGACATCTTGAAACGCTCACAAAAGCTACAGTTACCTAGCAATTTCAAAGTTCTTTATATGCTTATGTAGAGAAAAGACGACTATACAAAACTGTTATCTAGGATTTTCAAAATTTGGGTATTTTAAGCCCAAGAAATTAAAAAAGTTAAAAAAGCGCAAAAATCCATTTTTTCCGAATTTTGAAAAACGGAATATATGTGATAGTCCCTGCGCTCTTCTATCTACATACCAAATTTTAGATCGATACCACCTTTTTGGCTAAGTTATAGCGGATAACTGCTCAAAATTGATGACGTCAAATTTTTGAACTCATTTTTAGCAATTTTAGTCCACGTAGCGCAAAACAAAGACCACCATTGAACTTCCCGTGACGAGCTGCATCAAATCGAATCCCGTTTTACGCAAAAATATCAACTTTAAGATTTGATCTAATTTGACCTGACCTTGAGCTGACCTTCACCAGAACATAATCAAAACTGGCCCCGAAGGCTGCCTGACCCATATAATCGCATTTGGCATATAAAATGGACCATAAAACATGCATCACATGATATTCTCATATTTTGACCCTCAGTGACCTGGTATTTTGACATATTTTGACTCTGTGACCTGACCTGGTATCAGTGACCTCAAATAGCAGAACATGTGTTTGACAAACAACGCCCCATCGATGATTTTCAATGAAATACATTTTACTTGATTTTACAACGCATTTCTTGAAATGCCTGTAAACGGTGAAAATTCGACATTTGACCTGACCTGTGACGTCATTGGTTTGACCTAGGCCAATGAAATCGGGTCACAAGGTAGTTCCCTGTTAGGACTGTCCAACACCGTTTGCTGCTTGTCGCTAGGTTGCGTTGTTCTCGAGATCTTTGGGGCCCAAATTGGCCCCCCTCCCCCCAAATAGGGCGCGTTGCTCGGTAGACCCAAACGGGGCGCGGGTTAAGTATATCATGCGATCTATATATACCTACTCACATGAATTACCGGTAGAGAGCTCATTGGAGATTCTGCTTGTGAGAAAACTAAAAAGCGAGCAAAAGTTGCTTGTTTACATTAGTCGTACATCGAATAAACGCTCTAGCAGCAAGGATACCTACCGGCACCGCAAATGAACGCCGGTGGTGTTCAAGTACATAGTGTGGGACCAGACATGATTCTGATAAGCATCCGCAAAGTGACCTATTCTGCAGAGCTGATAGATGAGTTCTGGGAGTCAGCCACGACATTGCTCTGTGCTTGTCCTAAAATTTTATCCTGCTGTGCTGGGGCTGCCATGTCGAACTGCGCCAAGGCGATGACCAGTGTGACGATGTCCTTCATGCTCTGAATAAACAGCTCTCTGCCGAGGACGAAGTAGCCGGACATGTTCATTGTGGCCTGCTGCTGCTCCAGCTTGTTCAGAATCTCGGTGAGCTCCGTGTCTTCCCTGGTGGCGCTGTTGGTCAGCAGGTGCTCACGCACCCGGTCAGCGGCCCGCTGGGAGTGGGCCGTCGCCTGGTAGCCGGCGTTGGTCGTCAGGTGCAGCAGCACGACCGGCAGTGGCGCCATCAGCCGAGCAAAGATCAGCTCCACCAGTCCCTGCGGCCCTAACGGCTGGGTCAGCTGGATGTTCATGTAGATGGACGCGGAGAATTCGATCAGCGTGATGTAGACGTAGGCGGCGAGCATGCCGCCGAACGTGCCGCAGAACACGCCGGCTAGACGAGTGATGTGACCGTGCTGACGAGCCAGACGTCGCAGCTGCGGGACGTTGCCCTTCAGCAGCGCTGTCTGCAAGGGGACCTCCAAGCTGCGATACATGTCCACCAGACTCCAGCTTGTGGCGTCCAAGATGGCAAGCCAACAACCCATGCCGCTGTAAATGGTGCTAGCGCTAATGCCGAACGCTACTTGAAACCAGACTGATTGCTGAGCATAATCTCTAGCTATATTAAGGGGAAACATAGCTGTCATGAGGGCACAAAAGGCGACATAATAGCGAATATAGCGACTGCTGGAACGATAGTCAACTGCCCCAAACTGCTCTTCGTACTGTAAAAACGCAGCCAGGAAGCTCTCCAGCCGGGAGGCGTTCTTCCAGACCCAAATAAATATGCCCACCCAGCGCAGTGGGGGCAGAAAGAACTGTATCAAATTAAACACATCGACGGCCGAGGAGAACTTGATGAACAGCGTGTGCCGAGTGACGATGCAGAAGAGATACATGGCGAGCAGCGCGGTGAAGAGGATGGCGCTGCGCGCTGCCGGCACCGAGCACAGCCGCCAGGATCCGTTGGAGATGGAGACGGGTAACAGGCTGCAGATGGTGGCACCCAGCAGTGCCGGACGCATCGCTCGCAGGAACGAGCCGGTACCTGCGGAACGAAACTCTGTGTCTGGGTGTGTTCGTGGGCAGTCTGACGCTGATATGGCTGCGTTTGTATGCACACTGCTAGTCCGGAATAATACATTTTCGTCAGGTAATTTATTAATCAGCTCATGAACACAAATTTACAAATGATTTCGGTAACATTACAACTTAATTAATTATTTTCATCAATATTGATTACTTTTTGTGGTGTTAGCATACCCACTCAAAATTCAAAAACTGCATTGGCGCTCCTTTTTAGACCAAATAGGTTGTACCTAATAAGTTATGATCGTTGGTCATTATTGATGTTATGGGACTAAGAACAACTCCGTTGAAGAAATACGCTATGCCAAAATTATATTGATTTAATTCAAAGTTTTAAAATATATCAGTCACAGCCCTTCATCACTAGAAAAGTCAAAATAACACTTTTGTATCGTTTTTCTCGGTAAAACGATGCAAAGTGTTCTTTCGATTGATTCCTTGATGAAGGCACGAGGCCGATACATTTGAAAACAATCAACCTTCGCCGGCACAGGGGGGAAGGGGAGGGTTGATACAACACCCCCCTAAGTTTTTTTCGCCAATAACTCGCGTAAAAAGGGGCCGATCGCGACGAAACTTTTTTTCGCATTGATTAAATTTATACCTACCCTGAAATTTCATGATCCTGACCCAAGTGACCTGTGACCTACTTTCCAAGGACATGTTTGGCCGGAATCGCGATTCGGTGTATGTATGTACCTATGTCGGCTCACATTAGCCGCGCGTTTGCAAGCTTTTCGTGGTTTCAAACGCTCAAACATGTGATTTAATGTTGCTCCCATGCATTAGGGTGGAGGTCAAGGTTACCTGAAGGTCAGTTCAAGTCATTGACCTTTGGTGACCTCGTTTCACTTTTTCGAGTTTTACATGTTTCTAGGCTAGTTTTCCGAGCTGAATTCGAATCTAGCAACCATTTGAACCCTTACGTAGTAGTTTTGGTACCTTCGTAACATGTTACGAAGCTGCCAGAGGCGGTTGACACGTACTACGAATACCCTTCACGACCCCTACTGGTTGATGTGACCTGACCTGACCTGGTATAAATGCTTAAAGACATCATCTCCTATGAAAACTAACATGATATTCGTGATCAGCACCCCGAAAAAAAAACTCAATAGCAGCCACACTACCACTTTCTAACAGGTCCCGATTTTCCCGACTTTTGGGTCATTGA